ATCTGTTTTCTTTTCATTTATTATACAATTAACAAAAGCAAAAAAGACCTCTAACACTAGCTTGCTCTATTCTTTTTCTAGTCTATCTGTTTTCTTTTTATTTATTATATTATTTTAAAAAACCTTGCTACGTGTACTACGTTAAGCTAACAGAGACTTGTTATAGCACTTGCATATCATTGCTCTTTTGTTGATTTTGATTGCATCTATTGTCTTCATTTGTAAGTCGCTTTGGATAAAAGCGTCTGCTAAATGACTAAATGTAAATGTAAATTATTGTCATAATACACTTTATTTGCATGGACAAGGGCAGTGCTAACATTCTGCTAAATTCCTCCTTTTGCATTTCACAGAAGAAAGCTAGTTTTTCTAAGAGTAAATATTCAGAATTTTAATTTTGGACTGAATTATATCTTTGAGAAAGAACAGGAGACTATTCTTGTGTGTAAAACTGACATTTCCAAAGCAAAAATGAAATCTTACCTTCATTAAGACGGATTCACTGAGCTTTTCTCGGTTTACAATCTTTATGGCGACTTTCTGACATGTGACACAGTGGACCCCGAGCTTTACAAGACCTAGAGGAAAAAAAAGAAGAAATTGGTCTAATCATTGGTCTGCAACAGGGCTGAGCAATGTTTTCGCTCACAATTTAATCAGGAAACCCCTCTCACAGGCCATTTCCTGTTACACACAAGCACGTGCCAGACGCTTCATTCATATCTCAAGACAAACAGCGTCAGGTGCAGCAGATAAGCAAAACGGCGAGAGGAATTGATGGCGAACAGCTACCTAAAGGCCTTTCTGCTTTATCACTCGTGACGTGGAGTTTCATGGTGCGCGAGGAAATCATTTCTCCCAAACATCCACAACACGCTTAACACTTCTATTAGTCAAAGTGCTAAATGTTTACAGGCTTTACGCTTCATGCTTCCCCCTCACTTCTCGATACTACACCACATTCAAGGACTTTCTAAAGAAAAATCTTCAGCGTAAGCACCTCGGGTCCTTCGGTGATTGTTGAGCAAGCGTTTTCAAACGAGACAAAAACCACTAAAGATGATTCAGCAAAGTTGTTTGCTGCTCCGCACATTGTAGAGTTTGAATTGTTGGGTAGATAGGGAGGGTTGGATGCCTGCACGAGATAAGATAATGAATGTTTCATATCCTAAGGTGCACGCGTATCGGAAAACTGACAGGAGCGTAAACGGAAAACGCTGTGATTTGCAAAGAGGATGCTGTGAATGTTTTTGGTTTGTATTAAAGTGTAAGAAACCCCCACCTCATCCCTACCAAACCCTCGTCCCTGATGACACTCAACGGACACTCCCGAACAACCTCTGCTCTCATGTGACTCAATGGCTCTTTATGAGCTGTGGAAAAAATGACTGGTTTTGAAGAGTCTTAAGATGGAGAGCAAAACTGTCTACTGCTGAAGAGGAGACAGAACAGCGAATACTATTTTTATGCCTTTAAAGGAACTGGGCTGTTCATTTATATATTATATTATATTATATTATATTATATCACATGACATTATATTATATTATATCACATTATATTATATTATATCACATTATATATTAAATTACATTATATCACATTAGATTATATTATATCACATTATGCTATATTATATTATATCACATTATATTACATTATATCACATTATATATTATATTATATTACATTATATCACATTAGATTTTATTATATCACAGTATGCTATATTATATTATATCATATTATATTATATTATATATCACATTATATTACATCACATTATATTATATTATATTATATCACATTATATTATTCTATAATGAACATGTTTTTATTTTCTTAATTAAAATTCATTTTGATATGAAAAACATGATATCGTGATATCCCAATTAAGAAAAAAAGCCATTTAAAAAACTAATAAAAAAAAAGAAAACCTTAAGCAGCTTGTCATTATCTTTGAGTACTATTTTTTAGATAAACATTTTAAGCAGTGAAGTAGTTTTGTTATAAATATTTGAAAAATATTTTGGCGCAAATTAGTCATGTGGTTCAACCAACACACAGAAACATGCACAAAAATAAAGTCAATAAGTCTCTTAAAATATCAGATCTGACCTTTTAGGACAAGGCAAGGATAGTTCAGGCTGTAAAATGTCATGTGGTGCGACTCCTTAATGATATTTATGAATGAATAATGTAAAATATAATGTTCACCATGACAATTATATAGACCAAATCTATAATCCCTATCAGCTTCAGCTTCTCCATGTGGAGAGAGAAAACAAACCCTGCTATAATTACATTAATTTATGATAAACGATTCACAGTCTGGGTAGAACCAGTCTCAGGTCTGGATCTGGACTGCAAACTGCTAATTGGTGACCTCTGATATAGGGTGCACCAAACGGGACATATTATACGGTAAAGCCCTGCACCCTTCAGGTATGAGAAAGCGAGGGAATATCATTCAAATGTCAGCCACAGCTAATTAAACAATAATGACACTTGGCGGCAAACCCAACAGAGAGTGTGTGTGTGTGTGTGAGAGAGAGAGTGTGTGTGTGTGTCAGTGGCTAGAAATAAAGAAAGAAAATCTCATAATGAGGAAAACACGAACAAAAACACCCCAAAAATAAAAAACCATCACTCAAAATGTCCTTTCTCATAATCAAAGCCCTCTGTTTATGAGACCCGAGGAAAAGAGTTTCATGCACTTTGAGCGCTGTGACCTATTCCAGCTAGCTATGATAATACACAAAGACATTAGCACAAAATATATATGTGGAGAGCATACCACAGTCAGACGTCATACCGCATGACATTATCACAAAGATACAGCGCATTAAGTCCAAGGGCAGAAGAAATGGCCTTATCACAAAGAAGAGAAAGGGAAAATGCTCGGCGAAACCCTTCGCGTGAACTTCATCTGCTCTGATAAGAATTCAAGAACTCTTGGTGGAGTCTCGGCGTATGACTGACGAGAGGGCGGCCACTCGCTCCGTATCGATTTCAGTCTTTGTGTGCCTTCCCGATCAATGAAATTAAAAGAGCTCCTGTCCACAGCAACATCATAATAATGGTCAAAAACACAATATTCACCTTGACCCAAGAGTTAATATATGCCTTAGCTTATATGTTGCAGTTGTCAATACTTGAGGAGATATACTTAACTTTTTTTTTTTTTTAAATATAACAATATTTTATCTTCATGGTTGAAGAGCTGCTGAATTATAGCGATACCATATTTTGTCATTTTAATCAATAACTTTGAATTTTTGAGTCACTGTTCTTCCAAAAAAAAAAAAGTACTGTTATGGTACTGATTGATTTCCATTTTTTTTTTTTATTATTAAAATACATAACATCAAGTGTAAGTTGCAAAAAATACTTGACTACTTTTCTGGACGACTAGTTATTTATTATAAATAAGCAATCCTGAAAGCCCTACTACTATATACAACAAGACTACTACTATATACACAACCAAAAAAAAAATTAAAGGAATACTTTACTCAGAAATGAAAATTGTACATCAGGCCTTCAAAGATGTAGTACTCAGACCATCCAAGATGTAGATGAGTTTGTTTCTTCATCAGATTTGGAGAAATGTATCATTACATGACTTGCTCACCAATGGATCCTCTGCAGTGAATGGGTGCCGTCAGAATGAGAGTCCAAACAGCTGATAAAAACATCACAATAATCCACAAGTAATCCACACCACTTCAGTCCATCAATTAACATCTTGTGAAGCCAAAAGCTGCGCATTTGTACAAAACAAATCCATCATTGAGACGTTTTTAACTTGCTGTTAAACTGTTGCTTCCAGGTAAATCACGAGTCCTATATCCATAATATTGCTTTCTCTAGTGAAAAAGTCGTCTGGTCTGAATCAGGAGAGAAATATGCACAAATTAAGCACCGTTTACAAGTCAAAACAGCTCTAAACAAATATGCTGGTGGATTTTGATGTGAGAGGCAACAGGGGATGGACTTTTTCACTGAAGTAAGCATTATTATGAATTATGGACTATGGATTATGGATTTTCGCCAGAAGTGAGCATTTAAAATGATAACACCTTGATAGTTTTGTCTCTTACAAACACGCAGCTTTTCATCATAGTTAATTGATGGACTGGAGTGGTGTGGATTACTTGTGGATGTTTTTATCAGCTGTTTGGACTCTCATTCTGACGGCACCCATTCACTGCAGAGGACCCATTGGTAAGCAAGTGATGTAATGATACATTTCTCCAAATATGTTCCTATGAAGAAACAAACTTATCTACATCTTGGACGGCCTGAGAGTGAGTACATTTTCAGCAAATGTTCAGTTTGGATGAACTATTCTTTTAAAGTAGCGAAACAGAAATAATAATGTTTAATATCATAAAATGTTTGAAAGGGAATAATGTTTAGTTAAAATTGATGATACTAGCTTGAATATCTTATCTAGTGTTGTGTTCCCTTGGTGTTATGATCATATAGCCAAATTGACCTGTTTTGCTCAGAAATAACTGACTCCAGATTATTTGTATTTCTCCTAAGGCACTGAAATAAGTTTTCTGAAGCTCTAATTGTGTTATCGTTCATTTTATATATTCACACAAACTTGCAGACAGATCGTCTTCATGTCTGCTGGCTCATGACTTGTGAGAATTAAGGGAATTATCAGTAACAATCATCTTGTGACTATTGTGATGCTAGCTCTTCTATCAGAGGGGCTTTATTAGATTTTAGCACATTTTAGTTGTGAACCTACTGTGCAAAATATCCAGGTTCTCCTTAGGCAGGCATCATGTTAAAGGGTTAGTTCACCCAAAAATGAAATCTCTGTCATTAATTACTCACCCTCATGTCGTTCCAAACCCGTGAGACCTTCGTTCATCTTCGGAACACAAATTAAGATATTTCTGATAGAATCTGAGAGCTCTCAGACCCTCCATAGACAGCAATGTAATTAACATGATCAAGTCCAGAAATGTAGCAAGGACGGTAAAATAATCCATGTGACATCAGGGATTCAACCGTAATTTTACGAAGCTACAAGAATACTTTTTGTGTGCAAAGAAAATAAAAATAACGACTTTATTCAACAATTTATCTCCTCCACATCACCCTATAGCGACATTTTGGAGATTATCCACTGAATGTAAACAGCGTATGCTGTTCTGTGTCAGCCGCGCCACACGGATACGTTTTCTACGTTGTTTACGCTTTGATTTGAATGAAAACATCCGTGTGGCGCAGCTGACTTCAGACTTTCAAAATCCTTCATCACTTGAATTAAGATTATAATAATTTAATTTTAAAAGACAGCCACCACAAAATCTGATTTTAGCACCTCGTTTTACTTTAAAAGGTTAAATTCAGATTTAAAATAATAAGAAACCGTTTAATAGCTATGATACTGTTTTTGAAATCAAATCTTTGCATAGCTATGACAGGAAACACTGGTATCTAACAAAGAAAAAGAAAAGTTAAAAAGAAAAAAAAAAACAGTTAATCTTAAAAAATAAAGCATATACATAAACCCACATAGGAAATGAAACAGTTATCGAATAAGCATGTGTCC